CTTGTAATTTTGTGAACCAATTCATGTGAACCCACGGTTCAACATACTAGGACTCGATTTAGTTCAAACTAGCACAGAAGTAGCTTACATGAATCAATTTACAGATATTGTATTTTATATACACACCTCTAAATATGGGATGAAATTATATTTTTAGTTTAATTATGTTAGCAATCCTCAAACTATATAAAATGTTGTAAATTGGTGTCCGTACTTTTAAAACTTGCAAGTAGGTCCCTAAACTTAATAATTGTTTATAATCAACTCCTTTTAATTAAATCCTCCGTTAATTGACTGTTTTAAACTTTTAAAACTTGTAAATAGGTTCTTAAACTTTATATTTATTTATAATTAGGTCTTTATGTTAGGTCCCTAATCCTTTTGCTGTGTCTCACCGTACAAATTGAAAAGAAGCATTGATGGTTCACAAACCAAAGAGGTTTCAATTTCTTTTCCTCACTTTTTCAAGTCATCTTTAATTATGGGCATTGATCCAAACACCCCAATTTTTGCAATGACTACAAATATCAACATCATTTCTAAAAGCAGCTCTAACCATCTCTCCATGAGATGAGAGTGAGGTCTCTTCTCTATCTGTAGAGGTTCAAAGAAGGGATAGATATGGTTCAAAGAATGGCCAATGATGAGTTTGCCTTTGCTTCTTCAAATATTTCTTAGTTCCGAATCAAAGTTCCAAGTATTTCTCTATCTCGAAAAAGAAAGTCACACTATGTGTGAAAGTTGTGACCAGGAATAGTATCAAAGTTCCAAGTATTCCTTAGAGCTCAACTTTTGATGAATTTTTCTTAGTTTTGAGATCACATAATGCTCCTCAATACTTGATATATCAAGTTTGAAGTGAATTCTCTTGCCAGCTATGGCAACTTTGGCTGGTCCATCTGGCTTTGATGAGTTCCAATAATAAGATTTACCTTTTGATGGTTAGCATATTGCACAATTACAGAAGAACTCGATTACCATAATTATAAAGCTTAGGGACCTGTTTATAAATTTTTAAAGTTAAGGAACTTTTTTTACATTTTTTCTTATAGTTTAGGGACTAGTAGCATAATTTAACGTAACGGTCAATTAACAGCTGACTTAACAGAATGACTTGATTACAAACGATTATAGAGTTTTGAAACATATTTTCAAATTTTAAAGTTTAAGAACCAATTTATAATTACCCCTGTAATTTTAATAGAGATGTACATATAATGATTGGTAGGATTAAAATATGTCATGCAAATAAATAGTATGATAATATAAAATTAATATTTTTATTTTAGTTTTATTTATACATTATTTTTAAAAAATTATTTCGTTTCACCTTGTTTTTTATTTCATGTTATTTATTAATTTTATTTTTTTAAATTTAGTCTTTTAACTATTTATTGTATTTTATTTTTTGTTTCATCCTCTAACTTTATTTTAAAATATCAAAATAAAATTAAAAAAACATAAAAAATTAGTGAAACAATCAAACCAAAATAAAATTAAAATTAAAATCCTAATTTTGTCATTTTCCAAGCCCAAATAAAATTAAATTACAAGATAAATCCATCAAAACCATTAAAAAAAGTAATATTAAAAGTTAAATATTATTCACTGGGTTGCACAAAAGTTTGCAAGGGCTAGTAACGATAATATATACGTAAGAATTACTGTAGAGGAGAAATTACATTAATTTTTCTCTTTCAATTTAGTACTTTTCAAATTTATCTTTCTATTCTCTTTAATGTTATTAAACTTTTCTAAGGTTTGCGCCTGAATTAATCAAAATAAAAAAAAATATTGTACATATATTTACAGTTATATTTAATAAGCCTAAAAATGAAATGAAATTAAACAAAGATAAGAAATAAAGAGGTGTTAAGCGGAGGAAAAAATATAAAAAAGAGTTTGTGATAGAAAGATATAAAACATTGAAAAATGTTTAATTACAAGAAGGTAAAGGATGTGTTTGAATACGTAATTTAATAAATTATTTTTAATATAAAATTTATTTAAATAAACTAAAAAAAATTAATAAGTTAAATTAATAGCTTATTTGTTTTCCGTTTTCTTCAGTCAAAATCAATTTCTTCTATAAAATAATCGATAATCGAAGAGATCATTTTCAATTTTAATTCGACTTTGAACTTTTTTAAAATTAAAATTAAAAAATTAAAATAAGTAAATAAAAAATAAAAAAGACACTATCTATAAATTCTTTTAAATTAGCCAAAAATATATTTTACTTTAATATATGTTACATAGTTTCATAGTTTTTGCTTTGTGTTGTAAGCTATAAATCGAGAATCGATACTTTGATTAATAGGTTAAGTCTTTTGTTTATTTTTCTTATTTTTTTTAATAAAGTTCTATGAGTTGTCGTCGTCGTCATTATCATCATTATTATTTGAATGTGAGACTAATTCTCGATAAAAATCTTAAGAATGAATATTCTTCATAAGTGTATTTTTTTTTTTCCTGCAAAACTAACTTATTACTTAACTATGGTGGGTTGAATATAACCAAAACTTTGAATAGTTATTTGATAATCTTTCTATAGATCAATATATGCAAAATATCTATTTAGGTACAATTCAAAATTCTCATTTTCTTTCATGTTTGTAGTAATTCGTACAATGTGAATGGAAATTTAATATTAAGAAAATGTTTCAAAATTTACAAGTAAACAAAACAAAAGTAAAAAAATTCTTCCTCTTTTAAGTTTTCACATAGCCTTGTGTTGACTTTGAGAGTTTGATCATGACAAGTCACATAATGATAAAAATAAAAAATAAAAACTAGTTGGGTCCTATTAGGCCCATCTGCCACTTGCACTTTCTGTTTTGATCTTTCAATACTATTCTTTGGAAGATTACACTTTACACATACATCATCGTTCACATTGTCACATTTCATAAATATGTGGTGAATAAATGTCAAAAGGATAATTAATACAGTAAAATCTAATTTAATCTTAAAAGTTAATTCATAAATTATTATTGAGAATCACATTCTCAAGAAAATTTATAAAATTATTTTATTGTTATTTAACTTTTTTGAGAATGATTTGAGTACGGTCAATTATCATGTAAAAGTTCAATAAATTTATTATTAATTATTATAAAAATATATTTTTATTTATTCATAAATTAATATTTTTGAAAAAATTTATGCTCAAAATTATTTATTTTCTTCTATTAAACATGGAAAAGATTTATTCTTATGTCACTTGTAAAAATGTAAAAATATTTCATGTATTAAATATTTAAAGATTATTTTGCTCATATTATTAATTAATATAAAATATCGTACTATACATTCTCCATGACGCCTAAGTCTTATGATTATATTAACTATATTTAGTTTATTTAAAATATCTTACCACAGTTTCTTGCTAAAGTTCTACAAATAGCTCAATATTATGATTAGATAACTTATGATCTTTTAATTTTATTTAATTTAATTAAATCATTATATTTTTAAAGTTATACAAATTTAGTTCTTTCATAAATTTTATTTAAAATTTAAATAAAACTTGATAATTTTTTATAAGACGTTAGATTAAGGTTTGAAGAAGGGAAATTTTGAGATATTTTATTGAGTAAAATTTAATATTTTGGTTGATTAGTTTTGAGTAAAAGACAATTTAATTCATTCAATTTTAAAAAAATGAGTAAAAAAGATTAAAGTTTGAGTTTTAGGTAAAATAAAAATCGATAAAAGACTAAGCTTACAAAATTTTAGAAGTAAATAGATTTAATTAGCTCCTAAAATTTTAAAAACTAAAATTATACATTATCTAAACTAGAGATAAAAGAAAATACAATTAAACCAATTATATTTAACTCAATATTAAAAGTGTACACGAGCTCATACTCAAGTTTTACCTCAATAAAAAGTATGTGTTCACCATTACCTCATATTATCAAAATAATATTAAAAATATCTAAAAAATGTGAACTTAAATTTTATCTTTAACCATTTTCACGATCGAGACTTTTCAGAAACAAGATCAAAATCTCAAGTAATAAAATCTATCACTTGCCTTACTTTCACAATGTATATAAAGTTATCTTTGAGTGTTTGAAAAATACACAAGACTTGTTCATTGCTTTCCCCCAAACACTATTGGATTCGACTAATTCGATAACTTCAGCAGAAACTAAATGTGTATAGATTAATAAACTTCAAAAGTGACTCTTAATTTTAAAATTATCCTACTTGGGTAGTCGCAGAGCACTATTATTAATTTATTATATTGATGAGCAGACCATATTATTGTTTACCAATTCATCTGTTGGGTTTTTGCTTTCAAATAGTTGGATAGTGTTCAAATCGATTTGAGCATCTACCAACTTGATAATTTTTTAGTAACCAGTCAGAAAGAAAAAAAAAATATGTTAGCATCAATCTTAAGAGTTGAATTTAAGAAACTAATAGTACAATATATTGTGAATTAAATGATGACGACAGGTATATTTCTTTTTAATACCAAATAATATTTAATAAATGTGTCAGAAAATTTTAAATAAATATTTATATTTTATTACTTGATTGTGGAACTTGATAAAAATTAAGATATAAAAAAATTAATCAAATTTTTTCCTTAGACTAATTGCAAAGTCTGAATTTCTTCATTCCATTAATAGTCAAATCTGTGGTTGGGTTCTTAATTACTACGTAAGGGCTGAGTATCCATTGTATCCACATTAACATTATTATTTTGCTTATGAAAAAAATTAATAGTCAAACCGGCATTAGAAATTTTCTTCTGCAATTATGTTTACCATGGTCGATTATTCATGCATTCGCAAATTCTTAGAGTAATTGTAGTGTTCCAAACACCAAATCTATACAAGACTGAGTGAAAACCAACTAAAAAAATATAATAAATTAACTAATGGTAAACTTGGAATCTGTTAACTCAAGGTACAATAGTGTGCAAGAACGTAATCAAGCGCACACCACTTCATGATTAATTGCAAGTTGCATATTTTAACAAGCAAGCATATGACCCATAATCATTGAGTTCTTAACTAAATCTGGTCCTCCATGTACAAAGCAGAGGTAAAAGCAAATGAATCTCAACATTCCATTCCTAAATATATCACAATATTCATGATTAAAAAAATGAATGAACAAAAGAATTCAAGAACTACAAACCAATAATTTTGGATTGTTCAGCTAAATTGGCAATACAATAGCCTCTACAATGAAAAAGAGAAAAGAAAACAATAATTTACATGCATGAATTAATTGCCTCCATTTTTTTCTTTCGGAATTTTGGTAGCTGCAATTAAAAGCTTTGATCACTTAATTTTGAAGGGTTGGTGATTGAGGACCCTTTGGAGACGGAGAGGGTTCTCCTTCAGGGGGGAAATCAGAGATCAAAGCCAGCATCCGGCGAATGCTTACCGAGCGAGCAGGCTTGAAGCTGTTAGATTTCTTGATGGTCTTGGAGAAGATGTTTGATGAATTGGAAAGAATAAGGTACACCAAAGCTTGAACTAGTAAGAACACAGCAACCTTCAGCAACATATCACCTAAGCTGCTCTCCATCTTTTCAAGTTTTGTGCCAATACAAATGTAACACCCTTCAATGATGTGCTTGAATATCCTAGTTGATTTTTAAGTGCGTAAGAAGAGAACAATAGATTTATGAATGAATTGTTGAAAGAAATACGATGCACACGTCCTTTTATAGTTGTTCATGCGTGGATGCACACATTTGGACCCTCCTTTGGAAAAGTAAAGAAATGGCATGGAGTTAGACCTGGTTTTTCACGTTGAAAATGTTAGGAATTGAGGTGGAAATTTCATTGTTATCCAGAAAGATATAAAGAATACGTGTTGAGAGTGTAGTGGCCTTTGAAGAGTAACATTTCAACGGTGAACCAATGAAGGAAGAGGATTGCTTGTGGACCCATTGGGATAAGTTAGGATGAAGTTTCCTGAGAAAATATAAATTTGGTCAATTTGGGGCCTCCCAATGGAACGTGCTGACTCATCGACTCCATCTACTTTGGTCCTCGTTGATTATTCAATAATTATTTAATTTGTCTTTCTTATAAGCAAACAAAAATTTTCCTTCCTTACTTTGCTTAGCCATCGGATGACAACAGACAGATTATAATCCCTGCCTTTGACATGATGTAATTTTATTCTTTTACTTTAACTTGTAAGCTTTTCTTTCATACATTTTTTTTAGAAAAAAGTATGAAAGGAAATTTGAGAACTTTTCTCTCCCTTTATTCTTTTTATCATCTCAGATATATGTAAAATACTGGAACTAGAAATTACATCAACTTTAATTCTTGCAAATAAATAAATAAATAAGTTGACAGTTTCAAGAACATTTATGGCACATGCAAACGTGTATTTTTATTTAAAAGAAAATGTCTATAGATACATTGGACAAAATAATGGCGTCCAATATAACACGAGCGAATGTTTGCCAAGTACTCGTATTTTATTGAAGGGTTGTAACTTGACTTGCACCACACGGGTGCCATCTGATTGCGTCTCAAACAAAAACAACAAAATCTATACGCGTCTTACAATCATGAAGTTGGCATCCGTTTAGAGTTGTAAATGAACCGTTTTGGGTGATTGCAATTGCTTCTTTGATGGGACATCATGGCCCAAAGGTATTTCAGGAATTGTAATTCATGAAAAAGTTTATCCAAGAATTCTGAGTACCAGTCCATAAATGTCTTGCCGACAGAAACAACTCCCTTTATTACTTGAGAAGTCAAGGTCAACCAAGTCAGAAAATCAAGGGTGTTATTCATTTTTTAAATATCACAATATAGTTAAGGTTTTCCCGGAATACATCACTCACCCATTCTTTGAAGCATCAAAGTCAATCATGATCGTTTGGTAGAAATGAGCTTAGAGGTTAAGTAGTGATGATATAATCAACCAGCTGCATTCATTCCTTAAGTAAAAATCATAGCACAACTCAGACACCACTAAATAAGCATCTCAAGGCTCTTCCATGGCACACAGCCACACTACAGCCATATTGCAGGAAATAATATAATCTACAGTAAAGCCAAAAAAAAAATATAACAAATTATTCAGTGGAAAAGATCCACTTTTGGCAATTCAGACACAACACAAAAGAAAGCTGAATTTTGCAAAAGATTTTATTGCCTAACATGGAGAGATATTTGGGCTAAGAGAATCGATGTTCAAAGGACCAAGTGGAGGACGGGTAGAGAAATGCACATCACTCGTGCACTCCATCAGTTTATTGTAGTTTTTGCTATGGCACTACAACTAATTAGTTGGAATTCCCAAAAAAGGAGGGAAGAAACAGAAGCATAATCGTCGGTGCAGATTTACACTTGATAAGACGATCTATGGTGATGCAACTTCAATATCATTTTAATACACTATATACCTGCAATCACATATCAGAACAGCACTTTTAGTTCATAACAATAATTGGAACTCTTTCAAAACAGAAGATAGACGGCTAATAAAAGTCAGTGATTGCAAAGTAGGCTTATTATGCTACAAGGCATTAGTACTGACTATCCTGCATCAAATAGAAAATAGTTATCCCAAAACCAAATAGAATTTGTCACATAATAATGACACAGGCTAATGCATAAACATTACAACTCATAGAACCGGGCATGGTATCCTTCCCTTCCCAACCTAAATTCATAAAAAAAAAAAGAGCATAAAAGCAGCTCCAATGTTTGCAATAAACAACAAAATTTATAATGCATTTTTAGAAAGAAATACACCACCACAATAATTCAGTTTTGGCAATCTTGAATTATGGAATAACCACTCACAAATCTCATGACCTATCTGATTTAAGAAAACATTTTATTTTTTCACAAGTACAAAAATATCATGTTCTTAGCAAAATTTTACTAAACAAATATTTGAAACAAAAAGTAAAGTTTTAGAAACAATGTGGTAATTTTATAAAACATAAAAAGTTCCTCAAACCATATAAATAGGCTCTTATGTTTTAACTCGAATTAAGTGCTTATGATCAATAACATGATAAAGATAACAACGAGTCATGACATGTATAAATACCCACGCTGTGCGATTTACCATTACAAATATACATGAAAAACAAGTCCCATTCTTTAATAATATATTTTTCTCCTATGGAAAATTACTCCTAGCCCCTCCATCCCCACCCCAAAGAACCAGCACTCAAAAGCGAAGGCCATGTTCAAAAAGCACTTGCCACAACCTATAGGATCATGTCAGCGACAATGAAAGTAACAAATCCAGCAATTACTACAAAGAAGAAAATGTTCTCCTTAAATTTATGTCAAAACTAATAATGCATTTGGTTTATAGAAAGGGAGAGAGGGTGAGGGTAGGGACCCTTTATTGGGTTTGGTTTGGTTTGGTTTGGTTTGGTAGAAGGAAGGACAGAAGAGAGTGCCTTTGTCTGGTTTGCAAGAGGAGGGGAGAAAAACTATGAGTAGTACACTTTTGGTTTTGTTAATCTCAGCAATAAGTTTAAATAACTAATAATAGTAGTAAGATTTTATTAAAAAAAGAATTTATTACATTATATATTCTTAATGTAATAAATAATTTATTTTATAATAAAAGCTTACCATTTTTGGATGCTTAAATTTAGCTCTTCCTTCCAAATCTCTCAATATTATGAGGGAGACAAAAATAGGAAGGAAGGGACTTTGGCTCTTTCGTTTTCTCTCCTTTCTTCTCCATATTTTTTAACCAAATAAAATAAAAATAAATCCCTTGTAGTAATCACCAAGATTATATCACAACAATTTAAACCGTCCTCTAATCCCTAATTTTGCGCACCAAAAAAAAAAAAAAGCATTCAGTTTAATCCTAAAATGAGTCACACTTCGTTTACCTAGCAAACAATCGATGAAATTAATCTCTGAAAATTAACATTGAAGATCCCAGTTATCAACACTGTCAGCACTCTTCAAGATTCAGAACACACACACGTTAAGAAAGCGAAAATTCTAGACTCTACACCTTATAAACCGAATCAGCAACCTGATTCTCCATCAGCACGAGCAAAGCCTTCGCGAGGCTCACTCATTCGAGCACGATTCTCGTTCTCTTCGATAAGAGCGTGGCGGGAAGCAATGTGATTGAGCGTGGTCCTCAATCCGTAGAAATCGCCCTCCGTCAACTCCGTCAGCCTTGCAATGAGTTCCCTCCTCATCTCCGTCATAACGGCGTCATCCTCTTCCTCTTCATCTTCTATCTGGAACCTGCAGAGGGGGCACGAAGCGTGAAGGTCGAGCCACGGCGTGATGCAATCGGCGTGGTAGAGGTGTTTGCAAGGGAGCTGTTTGGCCTCGGCGTGGAGGGCGATTTGGTCCTTACACACGGCGCAGAGAACGACGCCGTTTGGGTCGAGGTCGGAGAGTAACGCGGGCGTAACGGAGATTAACGGAAGTGCGCGGGTTTTGGAGGGAAGGGTTTGGCGCGGGGAAAGTAAGGCGAGTGCGTCTTGGAAAACGACGTCGAATAGAGCCGAAGAGGGGAAGGGTGATTCGGCGTCGTTTTGGGAGAAGGGAGAGTCCATGAGTTCGAGAAAATGAGTGTGGCAATGAGGGCAAAGAAGGGGCGAGGGAGGGAAAGTGAGGGACACGCTCATGTCACACTCGTGACACCAGTAGGTTTTCAATTCTGCCTCCGCCGCCGTCGCCGTCGCCATGTGTGGTGGTCGTGGCGGTGGCGGAGGGTGGAAACGGAATGGATCTCTGTCTCGGTGCCAAGGGAAGTAGTAATAATAACGAGTGAGGTGTTTGTGTAAGGATTTGGAATTAAGAAAGAGAGAGATAAACGGGCCCCACACTCAACTTCAATGGTTTGTTTCTCAATCGCTTTATTTTTTTGTTTCCTTTGATTTGGTAGCTTCTGCAACTGCAAGCGTCCAACTATCCTAACTATTATAAACAAATATATATAATATAACTCATAGAATAACAATGTCGCTTTGGCCGAGTGGTTAAGGCGTGTGCCTGCTAAGTACATGGGGTTTCCCCGCGAGAGTTCGAATCTCTCAGGCGACGTTGATTTTCGTTTTATTTTAATTATAAATTGATTAATAATTTCATGAAAAACATTAAAAAATAATTTAACCTGAATTATTTTGTGTGTTAAGTAAAGAATTGTTTGTGATATCAAAGATGGGATATCAACATCGAACAAAAAGACATGCAATCAGCCCAACCGCTGAGTGATCACTATAACAGTCTACCACTCTGTCCCATTACCTTGCAACCACTCCCTCCACAACTTTGCACCAATCATTTCAATAATGGACTCAAATGTTTATTTGAGGCATAAAGGGAAAATTATTGCTTTTATCTTGCCATCTAATTTCTCCAACTTGGCATCCGTGAATCTATAAAAAGGTGTTTATTTTCAAAATCCAATAATTGAGTAAGAAACAAACAATTCTCAACAAAACAAAAACAGGTGCTCATCCCTAAGGTCCCCAAATTAATTTATATAAACTTTCTAGATGTATCTAACAAGGTTGTATCACATTATTTAATGAGTTCAATATCATATGCTTATAAAGTTTTTTTTAGAGTAATTTTATATTTTTATTAATTTAAACATCTTTTATTTTAAATTGAGAGAATTTTAAGAATAAATTATCAAGATAGACATAATATGAACACAATTAGGATAAGCACATTCGAAGTAATAATTACGATAAAAATTATAATTTTTAACATAACTAGGAAATATTTCATTTAACTTTTCATATAATTGTTATCATAGTCATATCGATATAAAAATTAAATAATTGTATACAAAATTTTACCCTCGTAGTATTTTAAAATTAAACTTTTTTATATTTATTAGTAATTTATTGTGATGAAATCTTATTGTGGCTTATTATTTAAAAATAGTGTAATTATAAATAATTTATTAATTTTATAAAAAAATTTGCTAGTTTCATATGCTATTATAATTCGTTTTTTAATGTTAAAAAAAGTTTACAATTTAATGGTCAAGGTTATCTATTTTTAAAATAAAAAGTTTATATGACAAATTAAATGCGTTTCTAAATAAATATACTAACAATTAATATATAAATTAAAATTTTAAAGTATTAAAATTCTTATAGAAATCAACAGAAGTTAGTTTGAGTAGTAATCGGTTAGGTATACTTTAAGTAAGGTCTTGAGTTCGATATAAAACAATAGAAAGAAATAAAATAATAGTCATTGATTTTATTAAGATGTGAGTTAATTAGTGTTAAGTTTAAATATAGACTAAATGTATCAAATTTAAATTGATTATTTTCTCAAATGAAATGTTAGTCTATCTCTACATACTTGGATCTTTTATGAAATATAAGATTTGTAAAGAGATATAGAGAGAATTGATTATTCTAGAACACCAATGTTGAGTTCATAGTAATCTCAAGTAAGGTTATAATCCAATGTTGGGTTCATAGTAATCTCAGGTAAGGTTAAAATCCAATTTATCTCGCTTGTCACTGCTACCAAAGATTTTTATTCAACTTGTACTAGAGATTTATATATTGTCTCTTACCTATTGGATTTCTAAGACACCGAAGAAGTTCCAAGATAAACACAAAAACTTGTGGTTAATTGTCTCATGTTGATACAATTACCCAATCTGCATTAGCATGTTCGTTTAGGCTCAAGGATGATATTGCTGAGAAAAATAGGTCTTGACCAAGATTGGTTTTGAGGTAACACATAAGATGATTTAGAGCATTTGGATGAGGGACATAGGGAGATGACATATATTGGCTTAGTTTATGAACTACAATATCAAAACAAAAGATGATGAGATACAAGAGCCTCCCCAGTAATCTTCGATAAACTGAATAATATTTTAATTAAATCTCCTTCAGTAGCATATAATTTCAAGTTCAAATTCATTGGCAAACTAGCAAGTTTAGACCCTATGAAACTAGTATTCTAAGTTTAAGGTGCATTTCCTCTGGGACAATTGAATACCTTAAGCAGATTGATCTATTTATAAGCTTAGGAAATAATTCAAATTTCTGATAACCCTTAGTTTGAATAATTGCGGCAATTTGTCCTTAACTTGCTCAACCAATTTACAATTAGGACTAGTTATAATGATATCATCAACATATACTAGCAGCAAGACTAAAGTATCTCCTAAACAAGTGTGTGAAATAGAGTAATTATTTTTTAATTGCACAAAACCATGACTTGTTAAAACATGAGAAAACTTGTGGAATTATTGTCTAAAAGGTTGCCTTAATCCATAAATGGATTTGTCAAGTTTGACTACTAATCGCTCCTCCTAAACTAGATATTAGCAAGTCCATATATACTTCAAATAGATCTCTATTAAGGAAGGCATTATTGATATCTAGCTGAAGTAGTGGCCAATTTATAACAATAACTATACTTAATAAAATTTTCATGTTGGTGAGTTTGACCATAAGGGAAAAGGTGTAAAAAAAGAAACCCTACTTGTTGTGTATAGTCCTTAGCCACTAATTTGACCTTGTATTTATGTACTTGTTCATTTGACTAATATTTCATGTTATAAACTCAATGACACTTTTTTCTACGGTTTTCTTTAGACAGAAAAACCATAAACAAAGTATTATTATTCTCTATCACTTTGAATTTCTTAGCCATACCTTACTACTAGTGTGCGTATTTGGCTGATTAATGGTAAAAAGTAAGTTCATATTCAAGAGAGACTTAAGAAATAAACTCTATATGTGGCTAAGCTTGATATAGGAAACAAAATTTGTAATAAGATACAAGTTTGAGGTTGTTTAGCATAAGTAATCACAAAGGTAGATGGAGCTAGAAATTCTACAAGAACATCTAGGGACTAAAGGGCCAATGTCATGTTGGTCAGATATTTCAAATGTAGTAAGAGGTGAGGAATGTTGTTAGCTAGGGAGATCATAGAGAGGAACAAGAATAACAATATATGCAAATAACTCAGTAGAGGATAATCGTGTATTTCTTTAGGGAAAGGAAATATAGACTTACAAAACTTGACATCCCTATTGATGAACAATTGCCTTGTTTCCAAATTGTAAAGTTTGTAACCTTTATAAACCAACTGAGGAACCAACAAATACAACAGCCACAACTCTAGAACTGAATTTAGTCCTTTGTCTAAATAGTGTAGAAGAAAACACAAGTAGCCAAAAGTTTGTAAAATATTATAAGGTGAAAGTTTCCTAAAGAGTAACTTATTAGGAGGAGAAAATGTAAATATAAAGCTAGGAACCTTATTGGACAAGAAGGTGGCAACAACAATGTATTCCCCCCAAAACAGGATGAGAACTTTGGATTGAAAGTAAAGAGCTCAAGCTATGTAAAAAGGATGTTAATGTTTTCTTTTAACTACTGCATTCTATTGAGGACCTTAAACACAAGTAAATTGATACAAAACTCTTTTCTCTTGCAAAAACAAGGTTAAAGCTAATTCATTGACATTGTCAGATCTCAATTGTTTAATTGTCTTACCAAATTGAGTTTAAATTAGTGTGAAAAATTAAACAAGTAGTGCAGTATCTTCTAATTTATATTGCAACAAATATGACAAAATAAATTATTGTGATAGTCTATTGTGATTATGAAAAACTTCTAGCTATTATAAGACGAAATAAGATATAAACTCCAAATATCACAACGAATTAGATCAAATGGAGCAGTATACATATTATTAATAGAAGGAAAATAAAGTCTTTGATGTTTTGCCGAAAGACAAATATGACAAACATGAAGGATATTTGGTGGTAAAAATAAAGTATCAACAAGTTTATTCAATACTTTGTTGAATATATGACCCAATCTAGCATGTCAAACATCAACAGAAACATTCTTTACAATGAGAACCTTAAAGTTAGTAGTAGGCTGTACAAGAAAAATTTGTTGTAAGGCATAAAGCCTTTTAAGAAAATTACCCTTGTCAATCACCTTTAAAGAGAAGTGTCCTTTCAAATTATTATCAATTAAAAGTTATGAGAAATATGTTTTTATCTAAAAAATGAAACTTTATTTATAATAGAAATTTATTATTGAGTTTTTTTTTGCTAAATTCATTAATGGTTAAGAATATATAAATTCTATCTTAGTCCCTTCAAATAAAAAATATCAATCTAATTATTTTTTTATATATAGATTAAAGTGTGAAAAACATAAATGCTAATATTACCATTATTTTTTATTTTCAAATAATGATATAAGATTTTTATACTATTAATAATTAATGTTTTCCATACCAAAATTTTTAACATTTTTAGTTTCATTCCTATTTATTCAATCAAATGAAAGAAAAAATAATTTTTAAATTAATAAAAAAATTGATGAGTTAATTTGGATAAATTCAATTTTATTAATTTATTTTATTGGATAATACAAACTAAAAGAAAACATATGATAAAGTTACACATGTTTATTTATTAATAAAATAATTAAAAAATAATAAAAAATATGATACTTTGAAAAAAAGTTAAACTACATATTTTTCTAAAGTTTTTGTGACTATAATTTAGTTTAGGTAAACTTTTAAAGAAGTACTTGTAAGAAAAAAAATATTAGTATATAAATTGAACAAAAATTTGTTTATAAGTTAAAAATAACATATTTTTAAATTTTAGAAAAATTAAAAAGAAAAATTTCTTAAATAATAAAAAAATATAGTTTGTTTTTAATTTATGATAAAAAAAATTATTATATTTTATACTATTTTTTTTCTTTTACAAAAATTCACTAAACATTGAAATAAAAATAATAAAGTATAAATAAAATTA